TTCTATCTTCACGTGCTTCTATTATGAAATTTATTATTTGACAATTTCATAAATGTATGTAATGTTTTATGATTGTTTTCACCCACATCACCATCTTTTACACACCCCCAACTCTGGAAGACCCACTTCTTCCCAAGTGGTCTTCCCCTACTACTTTCATATTTTTTTGTGTGAAAAAACCCACTGATTTTCATTAGGGTTGCCTGTATGAGCCTGTATATTACCAGTGTACACACTACTGAATAAAATTATTCTCTCTCCTCCATCAGCCACTAACCACCAATAATTCCCAGTTAGGGATGGGGTCCCATGAGCCCCTGCTCTATCCATAATGAAATGTTGGTGGGCTGTAGATCTCACTTCTCCCTATCCTCTCACTCTGACATTTTTGATATTACTTCTTTCACAACGTTCCCTGAGCCTTGGATAGAGAGCAGGATGATACAGCTGTACTATTTAAGGACATGTATGTAGTGCCCACAGGGCCCAGAAAAGGGCATCAGAAATCCTGGAACTGTAGGCACAGATGCTTGTGAGCTACATGTGGGTCCTTGGAATAAAACCCAGGTCCTCTTCAAAAGCAGTAAATGCTTTTAACTGCTGAGCCGTCTCTCCAACCCCACAGGAGATTGCTTAGTCTTTCAAAAGTAAGTTGATTGGTAAAGCAAAACAAAACACCTAATTGTTTCTCTTAGTACAATAGGTAGTTTTTAGTAAGCTTAAACAGACTTTTTTCTTAAGCAGTATTTTAACCTGTTTAATTCCTGTATAAAATATTTGATGATTTTGTTCTCTGACCTGAGAGCTTGTATTATACCTCCAAGCAAACCGTTCATATGACATTAAATCTCTTGAGACACATAGCAAGTGACATACTATAATCATTATAATCACAAAAATAGCTGTTGTCATGTGGAAGAAAAGCTTCCCAGGCAACAACTGCCTCCAAGACTGGGGATGTTCATATCTTAGTCAAGAAACATTTTTATCCCCACAAGGTAGAACTATCATTATTGAACACATTGAATATCTTTAGATAACAAGGGATTGCAAGAGTTTTCCTGAAATAGAGAAATACATGCCTAGAGACCACCACTGGTGTTAGGTCAAGGAACATAATTCACTTGAAATGGCCTATTTTATTACCTACACCCCCCACAAAAATAGATCCTTGATAAAATAAGTTTCATATAATACACTGAATGGTAATAAGTTAAATTTCCTTTTTATAAGATTTATTTGTGTGTGCATGTGCAGTAGCACGCATGCATGCCACGTGCATGCGTGTGTGTGTGTGTGTGTGTGTGTGTGTGTGTGTGTGTGTGTGTGTGTGTGCGCGCGCGTGCGCGCCTCTGAGGCCAGAAGAGAAGGTCCTTTGTCTGGGAGCTAGAGTTAGAGGTGATCATGAGCCAAATAAAGTGTGTTATAATAACTGAGCCTAGGTCCCCTGGAAGAGCAGTCAGTCTTAACCACTGAGCAACCTTGTCAGCTCCTCAAATTATTTCTTACTGAGTGTCTCAAAATGAAGTTTTTTTCTTCCCAAGATTTTAGTTGCACCATCATGCATTTTTAGGTTCTTGTTGTAACAGATGCCAGGCCATATAATAAAAAATATCTAAAATGGAGACAGCATAGTAAACTATCTAGAAGTGTAAAGTAGTGAATCAGACTACACACAGATTTTTGTTGCTTGTGTCTACTACAGGGATTTACAGCAAACTTTTATGCAGTTTGAATATCAGTGTCTATTTTTTTTATATTATATTGTGATACATTAGTTATGCTTATTATATTAAAGGTTGTTAATAAGATAAGGTAAATTAATTCATGATTGGAATACTTCACAGTGAACAAATACTACTACAATTATTATAATTTAAGTTTTATTATAAAGTAAAATAATTTGTACATCATTTCTATGTCACTCTCTTAGTAGGTGTTTGGTGACTTATACAATTAGTAATTATGGAAAAACATTATTGCCACTAAAATATTTAAAGTTCAAACTGTATTTAGTTAAAGTCAGTGGAGTATTTTAACTATGGAATATGAGCAAAGACTTGAAATTGCATTGAGTTTCTCTCAAAGTCTGTTTTTCAGAAGATGGAAATGATGTTAGGCTCTCCCCCAACAACTGGGCTAGGGAGAGAGCTTCGGCTAGGACATAGCCTGGGTTCATGGTACCAAAAGATGGGAAGAAATGAAGCCAAAATCTGTAAGTCAGAGACTCAAGCTATTACAGGGGATGTCCAGAAGCCAACCACCCACAAAACCTGAAGAAGACAATATATCAAGATCCTTCAATACTTAGAGGTACAAATACTATTCCCCACAACAACTTCATAAGTTCTGAATCCTGAACAAGGAAACCATGTTTAAGATGCTTGTGGTTGGACTTGAGGTAATTGCCTTGCTTTTATGGTTACTGTACTGCTAGATTGCTCTAAACATACTAGAATTTGTTCTAGACCAAAACTCATGTCCAAGAGGATATAATCTATCTTTAGAGGAGAATATATTACAATTATAATCTGACTCAAAATAAGCAATAATTAAATGTATCACCCATAGTAGCAAAAAGATAAAAGAAACATAAATGTCTGATAATAGCATATTATGATGAGAGAACAATCATGTGGTAAAATTTGCAACAGAAAGGACGAATTAGATGCTGTGGTTTGCTGTGGGATGGTCTGTATGTCAAATTGCTCTGATTGGTCAATAAATAAAACACTGATTGGCCAGTGGCCAGGCAGGAAGTATAGGCGGGACTAACAGAGAGGAGAATAGAGAGAACAGGAAGGTGGGAGGAGACACTGCCAACCGCCACCCGACAAGAAGCATGTGAAGATGCCGGTAAGCCATAAGCCACGTGGCAAGGTATAGATTTATAGAAATGGATTAATTTAAGCTATAAGAACAGTTAGCAAGAAGCCTGCCACAGCCATACAGTTTGTAAGCAATATAAGTCTCTGTGTTTACTTGGTTGGGTCTGAGCGGCTGTGGGACTGGCGGGTGACAGATTTGTCCTGACTATGGGCAAGGCAGGAAAACTCTAGTTACAGTGGTTGGCAGTACATCTAGCAATATTTAGATTATTCAAAGACATTACTTGGGGAAAAATAAACAAAAATAACAGGACAAATGTCAAATCAGTAAAATTGAGTTGTATCTGAAATGAGTCATCTCTAGAAATGATCTCTTTTTGTATATGTTTTCCTAGACAAGCTGTAAGGAATTCTGTCTTGATCTTGCTCACAGCATGCTGCATATTCATCTCCTGCAGCAGTACACAATTTGCATAATATAATACTCAGTTCTGTGCTTTGGAATACCCTTGGGTGAGATTAGATAAGAGGGACTCTGGTGCTACATTACAGTTCCCTTTAACAGAGGTTCCAGATTTTCCAGAAAAATAGATTTTTTTCCTGGAAGGCTGAGAAGAGTGTTTATTATATATAATATATGCATAAAATCAAAGTCATATATTATTGATACATAAACATAAGATAATATCATAACTTATTATTACAGTTGTTTGGTGGTAAGACTGAATGACAACAAACATTCTAAGAATTTATATGAAAATGGAAAGCAAACTCAAAGGAGAATGTATTTTAAGGTATTTACATTTTAATCTATTGATTTATGCTAAAGGAATAGTGGAATCAAATATGTATTTCTCTAGCCGTCAATAGGAGGAGATTCTAGCTGTATTATAGTGCATAAGCACAGCATACCTGGTGGAAACTAAGTTAATGAAAAAAATTCAGTGAAGGCTATGCATTAGGAAAACTTGTCAATTTCTAGTAAATATCGACAAAAAACTAGAAACTTGTGCTTAGATTTGTGTGAGATACACACCTCATTATTAGAAATATTTTTCTACTAAAATATTTTCATTATTGGAATTCCTATTAAAATAAATATAGTTTTCCTTCTTTAGCCACTGGTTTAGTATTTATACCTTCAAACTAACCAATCAAAGCATTATAAAAACTTGTGTCTGTGCTGAACACATATATATAGCTTTTTCATGTGATTATTCCCTAAGCAATACATAAAGCAGCCATCTCCTTATTATTCATATCATATAAGTATCATCAAAAATGTAGATATGGTATGCATGAGGAAATGTAGTCAACACACAAATGTTGTACCATTTCATAAAGATGATTTTGTGTCCCCAGATTGTAGTATCCACAGAGGATCTTGGAAGCACTGCCTACAGAGACTGAGGGGTGACTATGCTTCTTTCTCTTTCAAAACTCATATTGTTTCCTTTTTAGAAACACAAGCTTTTGGATTCCAAGTGTAAATGTGATTATGTACCATATTTGGAAATGAAAAAAATCTCATTGAAACAGAAACCACACCACTGTTTTCCAACAGAGTGATGGGTAAAGAGGAGACACTGATCAAATAAAAGTAAGTCCTAGTGGTCACCACATGTATGATGAGTACAGTGAATATTTTGTATATTCCAAAGTTGAAAACACATTTAAACATTTTAAATAAAAAAAAAAACTATGCTGGTGAAGTGACAGGCATATTAATAACCTTGACTGAGTCTCCAGGTAAAAAAAGATTGACACAGCATATTGACCCAGGTAAACACTCAGTTATTAAACTGAGTAAAAATAAATTAGTAAGAGAAAATGTGTGCCAATGGCACTTCTTTGAAAGTCTCCAAACCAAGTGCATTTATAAAGAGAAATAAAAAGATCATACTAAGAGAAATTTTTTGATTCTATGAACTATGTCATCTTTTAAAATATGGCAAACACATTTTAAGATGAAGATTATTGTTCCTTCAGAAGTGCTCCTATCACCAAACACTGATGAATAATTTATAAGTAGCTCCTGCAATAGCCCTATAATGACCAAGTTCCAAAGTCAACATGGCAGAGTCCATGCACACACATCTTTGGCCCCTATTACTGCTTTTCCTATTTTACTAACAACACACTGAGGGCTGATGTCATTGGCATGTCACTTACTGATGGGTAGAGGTAACCTTCTCCATTCATGGCTATGTACAACCCTGTCTTCACTCCCTGGATGGCAACGACACGCAGTCCCACTGGGATGAGGTTGAACAGTGCTGTTGAAGAGAAAGGTGATCTGTCACCAAGCAATAGACAAAGCATTTCCATAGCACTTCCCCTTCTCTTTCTGGTAAGAAGCATCATATGTATTTCTATTTTTCCAAGTATCAACTAACGAAATTTTGTTTCTCTTTATGGTGAGGAAGCTACTGCCATATAGAAAAATGAGCATCTCAGCTTTGGCTTCTCCTTAGCAAGCTCACCTGTACCATTCTGAAGGGTTTGGGAGACAGAACAGAATCAAGCCTGTAAACATGCTTCTACTATCAAAGTCTCTGACCCTACTAGATTCCAGAAAAAAAATCATCTATGGGTATTCTCAGGAAGCAGAATTTAAAAAGTGCAACTTGAAAGTTGACTGTCATTTTCTATACTCTGTGACTGGGCATTGCAGTGCAGTGTAGGCCAGAAGTTCAGAAGTAATTCCCAAACTAAATTGCTTTGGCAGGAGCAACATCATATGCCAGAAAAAGAAAAAAGAAAAAAAGAAAAGATGTGCAGCTGCTCATGGGATAAACTTAGAAGGTACTAATAAAATAAAATGGCATGCAAATTTTCAAGAAATAATTTTATTTATTGATGTTTTGTAAAGTTATATATAAAACTAAAAGTGGACCATGTTCATTTTTATATATCTAGTATGTTAAAAAACATTTAAGTTTCTATTTTTCTTCACTTCTAATGTAGTATATTTTCACAAAGTGTACTTTTCAACATCATCTTGAATATTGTCAACCATAACATCTCTGCTATATATAGACTGTTTAGTGGGTCTCCAGCAATACTTTTAGTACAAGTGGTATTAACAAGAAAGCTATTAATTAATTATCTGCTCTCATTCAACTCCTTAACTTGAATTTATTTCTGAGCAATGGGAATCAACATGGGAAGTACTCAGCTCTTGACATAAATGTGTAAGTAAAATGTCTTAACTTTAGGCCTTCAACTCTTTTACAGAATACATGCCACTTGAAATTGGTGAACAATTTGATTTCATTCTAGGGCTACTCAGTACATAATTACAAACTAAAACTGCAGCAAGTGTTGTTCTGCTTTTCTTCTCAGGGGGATGCGATGCAGGATGGAGAAAACTACATCCTCTTTTGCAATAATTACAAATACCTGTTCCCCAGGTCATAACATATCTGCACCAATTTAATGATGAAAGGAAAAACAGCAGGCCATGGTCTTGATAACTACACAGAGATTAATTTGGGGGCTAATTGGGAATAGTTGAGTTTTGTTTTCATTATGCAAAGTAACATTGAACTGTCCTTTGCAGGACTCTGGAGGGTTATGGCATATAGAAAAGGAAAAGGGTTTACTCCTTTTCATTTTTGTTATTTAATATTGAGTACGGTGTGGTGTCATTGGGTACTAAGCTTTGTCCTGACAATTCTCTGTGTCTCTTCTTTGTGTGTGAAAGCTACGGTCACTCGTATTTTTATTATCTCTCTAAACTTTGAAAGGATGGGCACTGTAGGATAAGCCTGAACTTCTGTGCATAATTTTAAGGTAAGAAAATAAGCTTATGTCTGTCTATGTAACTATCTAACCCAATGATTTCAAATCTATTTATTTTAATTTCTGTATTCTGCTTTTTAAAAAAGTATTGTAGCTTCTGAATATATCATGTCAACTAGATAGTATAATTCCCAAAGGCAAGAGTAATATGAATATTATAAATAATATAATATGGGAAGTAAAAAAAGTTCTAAAATATAGCCTAAATAGCCATAATAAAATTGCACTGTCCTTCTTTCCTCGGGATTTTGGCAGGAAAAAATGCAAGCAATTATCATTTTCAAATTAACAATGTGGAGCTAACCATAGATGATGTGTGGTTCTAGCTAAAAACACAGATAAATTATTTTCCACTCTTCTTGAATTTTATGTAATTACAAAACAATGAGGCAAAGCCTAGGGGAATAAAAAATAAAGATGTCACTGTGATTGTGTTTCTGTTGTGGAATACTCAGGTCTACAGGTAGCAGGGAATTTCAACCCTTGCTTTATGTGAAAATTGATGTGTTTATGAAATAAGATGACCATACTCAGCCCTAGACCAACCAAGTCAGAATCCCTAGAACTGGGTTAAGAACATAAGGAAAGTTTCTAAGAGCTCCTCAAATGAGTCTAGACTGTGGTTCACGTAAGAACTACCATCCTAAACCCTCTGGGGTGATGTGACAACTTTTACATATTTCAGACAACCAGATCTAACTACACATGTACATACTGTATACCTCACACCCCCACACCTTGCCAAAGAAAGGAGAAAGCAGTCCAAAGAGGCAGCTCTTTCCTTCCGTTGCAGCTTTTCTTTATATTTCCTTGAAAATTTTTGTCATGATGGATTATTTTTCTCTCTCTTTTCCCAAATAATAAGAAAGACATAAATAAATTAAGGAGCAATACTCTAGGGCACATTTTTAAGGTAAAAGGGAAGATAAAATAGAGAGAAAAGATTCACTATTTCAAGAAAAGGAAGATTAACAAAGGAAAATACACACACATATACCTATATAAATGTATACGTATATATATGTACACACACACATAACTTGAAAGAATTGAAGAGACTCCCTCCAAACTAGTAATATAAACACACTATTTGTACACTTCAGCTCACTTCAGATTAAAAAACACAGAAAAATACTAATATTTCATATAGAAACATCATGTGTTAAACAACTTATTTCACATCATTAATTGTTCTAAGAGTCTGTGCCTGAGAACTTGATGAGTCAGTCTAAAATAAGAAGAGCTGATGATTCTATTGTATGTATAAAGTCTTTTTCTTTTAATGGAAAATAATATTTTATGAACAGAAATGGTAACTGGATAGGCAACCATCCTTGCTCATGACTCAAGAGTTGTATGTCCTGTACAGTTTTTGCATTTTACTGAGCCCAGCAGTAAATGAAGTGTGTGTGTGTGTGTGTGTGTGTGTGTGTGTGTGTGTGTGTGTGTGTGTTAGAATTCATGTGAAATTAGAGGAAATCAGAGGTCAGAGTATAAATGAAAGAGAAAACAGTCAAAAAACAAAAAGGGAGGGTTTTGGACAAACCCCATGAAAAATGTAAACAAGTTCAATATAAAAAAATGGCAAATGGAAGAGAAATATCAATATCACAAAAGATACATAGATTTTAAATTAATAATCACAGACTCTATTGAATAAGGTAATTAAATGTTTTGTGCAGCGTATTTATATGTACATAGCCTGAATATCCTCTCTATGAGGACATTAACTTTTATACCAGTGCATTAGTGTGCCTAACTGTTATGATCAGGAGATGAAAAGTAATGTTCTGGACATAACCATTGTGTGAGCAAAAGAAAACACACTCAGTTTAACACCATAGGTACCTCTTTCTGCATTAGTACCTTCATACATGTGGTCTCAGTGAAATGATACATGCATTCTAGTAGGCAACTAGAAACAAACCAACAGAACCAATCATATACAAATGTATTTCACAAAGCCATTTGAGTAGCAAACTCAGTTGGTCACTTACTGGAATTGGTGCTGTCATCCTTGGTTCCATCGAGAGCTCCATCGGGGTGCATCTGCAAGTAGTAGCCTTGCCTGCAATATAACCTGGTCACTATGCCCTTGAGCTGGGGATCTGAAAGGCAAACACAGGGGTCATCAGCTTCACAATGCTGAAATGGAGAGATGATTTTCCCCTCTTTTTTTTAAAAAAAAAATATGTTTATTTTTCAGAAGAAGACCTTTTGTAGAGTTTGTACATTTGTATCTCTCAGACTTATCTGTGTCATGGTATTCAGACCACATGAACCACCACAGTTAAAGGAGGTATCATAACAAGCTTCAGAAAACAGGCTATTTTATGAAACTAATATGTGTGTTTACATTATTTATTAGACTGTCAAACTAATTAAATCACTAGTTTAATTATGACTCTAGCTTGTAATTATAATAAACTAATTCTGTCATTCAGGGTGACAGTTCAAGAGTTTTGACTCAGAAACTTCATTAAAGATTTTAAATAGAGTTTTCATTTTTCTTAAATTGACAGCCCTTATATGTGAGAAAACTGTATTTTAAAAATTGTCTTAAAATGTGATTATACATCTTTAGTAAAATCACCAGTTTGTACCCCTAATCTCATATGATACACATGAGAGTCTAACATTTCACTTCTGAACTCAGAGTGAAGTTTGGCATCAAAAGATACAGGATGGGTAGACTGGACTCAGAGCTGTGGTGAGTGTTTTGCCTATGCAGCACTCAGCACCAAAACCAAACAATACACTAGTCTCCCTAAGGTCAGCTCTAGGACAACAGCTTGATTAAGATACAAATGAAATAAGCAAGCTTTTCATTTATACAACTGGAAAGGACAGACAATGGCATCTGATTCTTGCACTTCAGGCATGGAAGCAGAGGGAGGTGGGAACTTACTGTAACAAAAATGGGAAACCATGTATTGTGGATTTCTCATTTAATGACTGAGAAAAGATAATTCAGTGCTTCCCCAGAAGCTAGCTGTATCTAAAGTAATAAATATTTGCATGTGGCTTTGCAAAGGCCATCCTCATTTTGGGAATTTATCTGATACATCATAATTCTCACCATGGCAAGAGGTTCTCTCCACAACAGCTGAATGGGATATTCAAATTTGATTTTTTGTCCAAATTATAGGAGCTACTGAACAATCCAACACATGGTCTTTAATAACTACAGACCAGGCAACAGACAAACAGAATAGCACACAGGCCAAACAGGCAGATTTGTCCACAAACAGAAACTCTGAGTTTTTGGTGATTAGCTTTTAAGAAATGAAAAAACAAATCCAGATGACTGTTTCTATGAATACTGCTGAACTGAGCACTTTGGCTTCATAGATAGGAAAACTAATTGGACATAAATAACATTCTGGAAAGTGAGCCAACTTTGAAGTATCATAACATCAGTGTGACAAGCATGTCAGGAGACAGGTGTGTTTAAAAGGCTAAGATTGTAAAAAGAGATCTCTAAGTGATTATTAAGGCAATATTGTGTATATACCCTCTTCCATAGCAAATAATTTCTAAATTACATAATTCTCTCTCTCTCTCTCTCTCTCTCTCTCTCTCTCTCTCTCTCTCTCTCTCTCTCTCTCTCATCATTTCATTCTGTCAGAACTCCAACCCATGGGATGATATTGCCTATACCCAAAGTATGTCTTCCATTGCAGTTAATTCTTTCTGGAAATCCACTCACAGATACAACCAGAGACATGCCCTCCACACCAGGTTTCTAAATAAGTCAATCCAGTCATGTTGAAAATTAAGATAAACATTGCTTGAGTATTAGTTTTTTAATACATTTTTTATGCAATATATTCTAATCATGGTTTCACCTTCCCCAACTCCTCCCCAAATCCCACAATTCTGAAATGTGCATTAGTTAAAAAAAAATACAACTATACATTCATTTTTTTCAACACACCCTCTGTCCACTGCAGACCTGTTTCTAGAGTGAGCTGCATTTTTTATACTCTTCTTTTCAAATTGGTAACATGAAAAAGAGCATAAGTAAACCAGGTGTGGTGATGCATGCCTGTAATCCCAGCATTCAGGAAGCAGAGGCAGGTGGATCTTTGTGAGTTCAAGGCCAGCTTGGTCTACACAGTGAGTTCCAGAATAGCCATAGTGAGACGCTGTCTCAAAAACAAACAAACAAGGGAGCAAGCAAACAAAAACACAACTAAAAATAGGGAAGAATTTCTTAACTTCTGTGAAAACATGAAAAGAATTTTATGGACTGGCAACTATTCTGTAAAAACCTGTGTGTTCTGTCATCACTTGTTTTAAAATAACCCCACATCCTAGTCGTTAGTTCTTCCAGGATTTAGTTAATTAGATCAGTCAAGGTAAGAAGAGCCTATATTCTTGCACACAGTCTCCCTGGCACTCACACAGTAAGCTCTTATGAACCATAACTCATCTCTATTATGGGAATAACAATAAAATGCAAAATTATATTGTCTAGAGTTCTTATAATAATAAAAGGCAATCTAATTTAAATTTACCCGGTTTCACAATTCTTGATATTTTTATTTTTTAAAACTGATAATTGCATGTGTCCTCAGGTGTCAGGCATTGTTCTAAGAAAACTCTGATTCATTGAATCTTCACTGTGAGTGAAGGAAATCAATTCAAAAATGAGGAAATTAAGAAAGAGAACAATTAAGTAATTTTACAAAAGGCACAGAATTTACAAGGCTGGAGGTTGAGTATGAACACTCAGTCTGCTCTATTAATAGCTAGGCTATGTGCCCTCTACAAATGGAACAATTAAATTAAATTGCCTTACAAATCCTAGTGTAAGTCAAACTGCTTAATAAAAAAAAAACAAGAAAGAAAACAAAAGTGATACCATTTTTATGATCATCACCAGCTGTGTCTCAATCCTATACATTCACAGGTGAATGTGAAAGGCAAAGCCAGAATAGAGTTGTGAGGGTATCAACGTCCTTGGAAGTGTCTACGCATCCCACTTTGTAGTTGGACAAGTTCCCAAGTTCCCAGTTTCTGCCCCGCCCCCGAATTCCTCACCAGAGTTGTAATCCCTCACCAGGTTTGCTGTAATTGGACCATTTTCCATTCCAGCCAAAAAGAATTTCTAACCTTGACTTGACTGTAATGTGAACAGCGTCAGCCGACCCCATCAGCTTTGTTCGCATGGTCCACCCACTGAGCTGCCTGCCTCCTCAGGGTGCTTCTCCACTGCACACCCTTTCCTCCCTATACCTCACCAGCACAGGATTTCTCAGGCTTTTTCAGCAAGCACTGAACCAATAAAGACATCTCTCAAGTTCTTTATCATTATTTTTTAAACATTTGTAAATAGAAATTTTAAAAACTTCTTAATTAAAAATTTTAAATGGAAATATTTTTAAATAGAAATTACCCACTTTTGAACATTTAAAATACATTAAAATATGCAAAAACAGTTCAAGCCACATCTATGTATCAAACAGTGCTTAAAACAGATGCTGATAATTTGTCTTATCATTCATAGTCATAATTCCACATTTATTGATAAAATTGTATGGTAGTATCTACCTCACCAAGTTGACTATATGTGACATAAAGAAAGTTGAAGTGTGTGACATTGTTCATGGGATCTAAAGTGAGTGTTTATTGATTAAATACTTACAAGGGGCTAGTAAAACATCCAATAATTTCATAGATGGCTAACAGGAGTCAAAATTTGAACAGCATGAAAATCCACAATGACAATGGCTAGCAAATTTTTAGATGGGTCCTCACCCATTGTTCATGTAGTTATGCTTTCCAGATCTCTAAATTCGAGATACACACTAATATAAATGCTTAAAAAGGAACATGGCAAAATAAAACTTAGCACCCCCTAGGGAAAAAATTATAGGAAAGGAAACATACCAAAATATTAAATATACTGAATTTTGAGGGTATTTATCAACATTCTTACTTTTGCTAAATTTTGTATAATGAAGGCATGCCAATTTTATAATGGAAATATAGAAATTGTAGTAACATCTATAAATGGCTGATGAATACAAGTAAAAATAATATTTCATACACATTTGCAACTAAAATTACAATCATATATACCCAAAAATATAAATACTACTGTTGGTTGCTAAATGGTCCAAATCTTTAAAGGTAGCATTTGTTGGCTGATTTTGTACAGTGGAAGGTGCACAGAATGTTCCTTATGACCTTGTTCCTTTCATTACTTATAAAATTATCCATAGCTGATATGGTTGCTTAAAGTTTAATGTAATGTCCATCTTTCACCCACTCACAAACCAAACTAAAACACAACATTCCCTCTAAGGCCAAAATACACCATTAATGATGATAGCAAGGCAAGGAAAGATGACAAAAACAGCCACATCAGTCATGTCTGGTAAAGCAAAGAGAGTCTGAGTTCCTAGACTATGAAAATGAAAATAAGGACCTTCACTATAACTGCAACAAGTCTTAGTCTAGCATTCCATGGACCACTCACCTACATGATTCTTCATGTCACAAAAAGAGGAACAATTGTTAAAGAGAGATCAAGAAAACCTTTCACAGTTTCCAGCAGGGACAGGACCCATCAGGCAGCCATATAAAGGCATATCACTATGAAGTAATGGTGTGCAAGATATCTAGGAGTGTACAAAGCCACAATGGCAAGCCCTTTGCATTTTTTGTCATCTCCAAAAATGAAAAGTAAATTGGAATTTATTCATCATTTAATGTACAGATTTATATTGATATTTCCAGACAGGTACATGTTACATCAGGTCTTTAAGTAACTTAAAGCAGTTGGACAGACACATCCTGTGATTCTGAGGGGCTGTCCTAGGGACACTAACTCTCAATTGATTGTTTCCAATGAATACTTCACCATGTTTTAAAATTTATGTATTCCTAGTGAAGCAGATGTATATATTATAGCATGTATTTTAACTAACATTTGGATAATTTAGGGGGGAAATACACAGATATAATGTGGATTGAAAATAGAAACAAAATTAGCAATGTTAAATATTTAGCTCAGATTAAATTCCTCATCTAGGGATTATAGTTTTAAAATAAAAATAAAAAAATAAGCTTTCTACTCAAATCTATCATGCACTTAGCC